CTGGGCTGGCCAAGGACGTGGCCCTAACCTTAGTTTACTTACAGGCTATTTCCTCATTTAGGGTCTATGGCCTGACCTTCATCCCAGGTAGCCAGTCACCGCCTAGGTTCATAATCCACTTCTGCTTCCTCTTAGCTCTGTGGCTTTGGGCAGGTTGCTTAACCTCTCTGAGAAAACTGAAGTTTCTTCTGCAATACAGCCTCCTAGCAGTGCTGTGAGCATCAGGTGACAGTGGAGTGCTTCAGTGCCCAGCAGAGCCCCTCCCCCTCCAGGTGCTGGAGGTGAGCGGTGGAGGTCCCCTGGGCTGCTTCTCTTTGAGCCTTTTAGGAAGATTGTCTTCATTGGGGCAAGAGTGAGGCACAAGTTGTATTATGTCACTTTTCAGGGGAAGCAGCTGCGATGAAATTCAGACAGTAGCTGGGAACTGATTTCCTACCAGATCTGTACCAGTCGCCTATTAAGCATGTATAGAAATAATCACTAGAGGAACTTTTTTTTCAGTCTCCACAAAAGCTGTTTAAAATATTAATGTGATTTTAAAATACCAGCGAGGGTTGATGTCTTAGTCTTGAATTCTGTGGACAGTGGTGATAACAGGGAATACTTAGTGAACATTTAGACACCATGCTTAGCATTTTACATGCACTGTTCTATTCATCCTCATAGCCATGTGTGACTTAGGCATCACCATTCTCCCATTTTACAGTTGAGGAAACTCAGGCTTGGAGAGGTTGAGTACTTTGTTCAAGGTCCCATGGCTAATAGGTGGAGGCACTGATTTAAACCCCTGGTCTGTAGTTCACCATAACTGGGTTCTCAGCCGCCCTCCTAGGTCTCTTTGGTTCTGTGGTCTGTCCCATATCAGCAGTTTATTCGGGGCCCTGAAGGATTAAAAAATTTTAAGTACATTTCAGTTGTGACATTTATAAAGAAATTTTGAGTGCCTGCCATGTACCTGGCACTTTTCTATAACTGGAACTATAAAAGAATGATTAAGATAATCTACAAATAAGAGTCCTAGTGGATAATAGTAATAATAATAATTAGCAGAGTGCTTATAGAGAGTGCCTGACACGGTTAATGCTTCATGTGTATTATATATTCATTTATTTAAAGAGAAGATAGATGTTTTTAACAATCAAAACAATTGAATAAGCAATATTCCCTTGAATGGCTGACTGCTCTTTGCAGCCTGAGCGTTACAGAGGGGATGAATGCAAGAAAATAACACCGGGCATGCCCTCTCCAAGTATAGCAGACTGAGATAGGCCTGGATTGTCTTGGGCTGTGAAGATAAGCAGAAATAAAAGGTCAACACCAAGTCTTGGCTTGACTGATATGATGTGACCAAGATCAGGCTCCCCACTCGGTCACCACCCTCGTTCTGGGTGAACTTGATTTCACCCAAAAATTAAGCCCAGTCTCATAGGAATAAGAAAGTCACTGAATGTTTAGCCTTACAGATTTAAGAGTAAAGCCCTAGCACTGCCTCGTTTTAGACGCACACTCTGGCAACTTGTTAGAAGGGACTCTTGCTGCCCTCCTAGACGGTAAACAGCACCAACCCAGAAAGATGCTGTAGGTTTCACACAGAAGACCCTTCTGGCCTACTGTTTGCTGAGAAAGTTCTGGAGATCCTCCCACCACTGAGCCATAGAAATCAGCCTGTCGCTAAGTCCAAAGCTCCCTCCAAAAATCTGGGAGGGATGCGGGATTCAAACTGAGCCCCTCCGTCAATGGAGCATGTCAGGTGTTTAACGGGCATGCAGTTCCCTGTGCCTCCCTCACTTCCACCCTCTCTGCTTCCCCTTCTCAGACCTCAGGTCAAACATTTCCTCCCCTGAGAACCCTCCCTAATTCCTCTGGGGCTAGGTCAGTTCCCCTACTGTGGCCACAAGTTTGTTCATCCTCATGGCACTGATCACGGTTGTCAACATTTGTGCTGTTTATCAGTGCCTGTCTCTCAACAAGGCAGGACCAGATCAGGTGTATCCCCGGCTCCTAGCACACACCTGGTGCCTTGGACTTCCAGGAAATTATATCTATATATAATGGTCACACTGTTATATCATCATACTTCCTAGATTCAGTCTTTAAGATTAGCCTTAGCAAGACTCAAGGCTTCAACACCACATGTCGAATTTAGTGTCTTTTTCTGGTGGATTTTGTATAACATTAACTTGTTAATTTTGAAAATACGTCTGTGCTTTGCTAATAACAATCCACATTGAAAAGTAATTAAGTCTGTATAAAGGAAATGAAATAAAAATGACTGAGTGTTTTCTGCATGCCTGGACTTACACTCATCTCCTCTGGGGATGGCTTATCTCTGTGTTCAAGAAATATTTTGGGTCCTAATCAGAAAAATCTTACTGCCTCACAACTGGAAACAGGTTGGTGGCTATGATGGGGGTTCACGATGTGCTGAGGAACAAGATAGCCATTGGACTTCTCATTGTCTTTGTAAAGATCCGGCTACAGGATTCGCCCTTCCTCTCACTTCTCTCCTCACTGCCCAGCTCACCCCTAAATAAGCTGCAAGGTGACATGATAATGCCTCTCGGGGCTCAAGGACACAAGCTTGGCGTTTTGCCATCTTGGATACCTCCCCCCAGTTGGATTCCTTCTGTCCACCTCCAAAAGTCATTGCTTGTGCTCTGGGGCACGGGTGTTCTGTGAGATAGATGCCATCTTGTTTTCCAGCGGTGTGAAAACATCCCTGGGTGAGCCTGACAGGAACACAGACCTGCAGCTGCCAACCTGGCCCACTGTGCGATTGCTCAGAGATTGAGATCGGCAGGAATTAGAGTCTGGAGAGGTTTCCCTTTGTTACTGAAGGCCAATCCCTTTACGGGAAAGGACACAGGACTTGGTTTAGGAGAAACGACTCAAGGCTCTGCTTCTGACCAGCTGTGTCACTTAGCTAATTCTCTTCCCTCAGTGCATTTGTTTCTTCCAGCTTCCCACTCAATTAATATTTATCTAGCAAATACTTTTTTAAAATAAATTTATTTTATTTATTTTTACTTTTGGCTGTGTTGGGTCTTCATTGCTGCACACGGGCTTTTCTCTAGTTGCGGCGAGTGGGGGCTGCTCTTCCTTGTGGTGCGTGGGCTCCTCATTGCAGTGGCTTCTCTTGCTGTGGAGCACAGGCTCTAGGCACACGGGCTTCAATAGATGTGGCACGCGGGCTCAGTAGTTGTGGCTCACGGGCTCTAGAGCGCAGGCTCAGTAGTTGTGGCTCATGGGCTCTAGAACGCAGGCTCAGTAGTTGTGGCACACAGGCATAGTTGCTCCATGGCATGTGGGATCTTCCCGGACCAGGGCTCGAACCCCTGTCCCCTGCATTGGCAGGCAGATTCTTAACCATTGCGCCACCAGGGAAGCTGGATCTAGCAAATATTTTTTGTGTGCCGGGGCCTCTGCCATGATGAACTTACATTGTTGTGCTTGAACCAAGCAGTAAGTAGAGTGCAAGTAAGCAAGATAAATAGAAGGGCTGTAGAGGGACTGGGGGAAGGGAGGGAGTTGGTGAGGTAGGTGTAATCCAGGAGGACCTCCTGCAAAGGTGCCATTAAACTGAATTCTGAAGATTGAGAACTAGCCAGCTGGGCAAAGATGGCCTGTCCAGCAAATATTTGGGTGGTGACTACCAGAAAAGGAGAACCAGAAGCCCTGATGGACCCTGAACTGAGCACAGTGGGCCCAAGGATGCTAGGAGGCTGGGAGGCTGAATGGTATGGTGGTGAGGAGTGGGTTCTGAGTGCCTGTTTGCCGGCTTCTGATCCAAGTCTAGTTTACTAGTTACTTAGCCTGGGACTAGTTACTAACCTTTTCTAATGGCAGCTTTCTCATCTGTCAAAAGGCAGTGATCATAGGGCTGATCTAACCGCATTTGGGGGAGTGTTAAATAAGATAATGCTCATGAAGCAATTAGCACAGCAAATAATAAGTGTGAGTTTCTATTCTTATTATTGCTATTTTTACTACTTAAAGTAAGGGAAGTAGAAGGTGAGTAGGGGATCCTACTGGCTGGTAGTTATCCTAGATCAGGGCTTGGCAAACCTTTTTTGTAAAAGGCCAGGTAGTAAATATTTGGGGCTTCTTAGGCCACATGATCTCTGTCACAATTACTCAACTCTGGTTGTGGTGGGAAAGTAGCCACAGACAACATGTAAATGAATGGGCGTGGCTATGTTCCAACTTTATTTACAAAAACAAGTGGTGAGTACTTAGAGTGAAATTTTTAGCACTGAACACCTGTATGTAGGAAAGAAGTAAGATCACAAATCAGTAAATTCAGCTTCAACCTTATAAAATTAGAAAAAGGAAGAACAAGTAAAACTCAAAGAAAAACCAAACAAACAATAAAACAGGTGGTGGGGGCCATAGTTTGTCATCAACTCCAGTACTAGATAATGAAGACCCTAAGATCCAATGAGTTCAGTTTAAGATTTGAACTTTTAGATCGTAGGGATCTCGTGAAAATTCTCGAGCAGGAAAATAATTTGATGGAAATCTACTCTGGTAGAACCATGTAAAACCATCTGAAACAGAAAGAGAACTTTATACTCCAGGTCGTTGCTGTTTTTTAACTGGGTTTGAGTGATGTCGGGCAAAGGATGAGCATCTTATAACCTGTCAGGAATTTAGGGGGAGTTTCTTGTTGTTACAGACTTTGATGAACCTTCCACAGCTTCTCATAAGCAGTGAACATATAACAAAATCGTGAATGCTGGATCAGAAGCTCCCAGAGGGGCAGGGGACTTTGCTTTCTTTGCCACTGTGTATCCAGTCTCTGGAATGAGGCCTGCAATGGAGCTGGCACTGGAGCATTTGAATGAGTTGTTGGTGCAGCAGCCCTGGAACCCAAATATGCAGTACTGGTCATCTCCAGGCTTAATTAAAAGCTATGTCACTGAATGAGTGTTATTTAAAAATATCATGAGGCCAGTGATGCCACTGGGTACCAATTTTCTGGTTGGTTTTTTTCCTTCCAGATGGCAGACAGTCAAGACCGTATTGAGGAGCAGGGGGCTGGGGACTCAGCAAGCAGTGACACAGTTGATGCGAAGCCAGACCGGTCCTCTTTTGTCCCATCACTCTTCAGGTAAGTTTCCTTCCTTGCTGAGTTAAAGAGGGACCCTGGGCCACTTCAGCCTACCACGCCTCTGCCCTCTCCACCCACCCACGTGGAAGCGGACCTTCAGGGAAGGAGGTCTATGCTGTGCGTGGGAGATTTGCACAGAATCCTGCCAGCTGTGTGTGACAACACTGGGGTCCCCCTGTGCACTCCCCTGTCCCCAGGACAAGCCCAGGTATGGGGGAGCCAGGCTCTGGGGGTCTCCTGCCTGGTGGCTGCGTGTCTAAGTGACAGCTGCCCAGGAGTGAGGGGCTGTCCCCGTCAGAGGTGATTTGCTGCTAGCCTCCTTCAGGGCAGAGCATGGGCTGCTGCTGCCAGTGGGACCAGGCTTGGCTGAAAGGCAGAGCTGAGGGCCATGGGATGGGAAGTTGTAGGGTGGCACTCTGCTGATTCCTACCTTTTCCTTTTTGGAGTTCACTTCTGAAGTTCTAAACTTTGCATTTAATAATAATAATAACAGCTTCATTTGTTAAGCTTCTGTATGCCAGCTCAGTGTTGCATGAGTCCTCACAATCAATCCCAGGAGATGGTTCTACTCTTACCATCATTTAACAGGTAGCTAAACTGAGGCATTAAGAGGGTTAGTAGGGCTTCCCTGGTGGCGCAGTGGTTGAGAGTCCGCCTGCCGATTCAGGGGACACGGGTTCGTGCCCTGGTCCGGGAGGATCCCACATGCCGCGGAGCGGCTGGGCCCGTGAGCCATGGCCGCTGAGCCTGCGCGTCCGGAGCCTGTGCTCCACAACGGGAGAGGCCACAACAGTGAGAGCCCCGCGTACCACAAAAAAATAAATAAATAAAAAAGAGGGTTAGTAGCCTGCCTTTCTGGTGGCAGTTAATAAATGATAGAGCTGAGATTAGAACCCAAACGGTACCAGTGCCACTCCCTTAACAGCTCTGCTGTGCTTTCTGTTTAGAAGTTGGGCTGCAGGGACGTGGGAGGAGCCTCTTCCCTCCCCTCCTTAACCTTGGTCATGTGAGTGGTATTCCCTGGCAAGAGGCAGCAGCGGTCTGTGAGTCAAAGCATCAGACTTCTCCATAGTGCCTACACCAAGCCCCACGGCAGAGGGACAGTGAGGGGGATGGGGGGTGAGGTTAGGGAGTGCTCCCAAGCAATGTTCAGGGGGAGGGGGAGAGCTGAGGGACATCCTGGCTCCCTGCAACATCCCGCAGAGATCCTTTGGTCATATCATCCCAGACATGACTCGGAGAAGTGGGGAGGCCTCGGCATCCTGGGTCCGAATTCCATTGGCACTGGTTGCCATTGAAGGTCAAAGATATCTGATGAGGTGACCAGAAAATACAGCTCCAATTACTGAAAACTTTTCAAAGCCATGAGTTCAAGTGGTCCAGGCTAAACCACTCCCCAGTGCAAACCCTTTAGAGCAGTGGCCTTCAAATGTTTTTGCTCACATACCCACCAAATAATGTAAAACTACACACCCCCTCAACATAGTTGCAAAGGATGTAGTAATATTTAAGTTTTCCCATCTCTCTGAGTACTCAGGTTAAGCAGGTTGCCTCTAAGTGAAACGGGAATCGTATAATAGCCACTTCATAAGTCTTAGTTAGATGATGTGGCAGTTTCTATGTCATCTAAGATTTCTCCTCTCTAGTAGGAGATGGGAAGCTGGGAAAGGGGAAGTGGCATCATATTCAGGCAGACCAGTTTTAGGAAAAATACAAGTGGAAATTGAGGATCTGGCAATTCATTCACTTAAAATTGTCTTGTCTGCACCCCTCGGAAAATCTCTGAGTACCCTGGTTGGAGACCACTGCCTTAAAAGACCCATCATTTTGCAAAAATAGGTGTGGTCTGTGATATGGGTTTTTTTTTACCCCCTTAACTTCTTTGGAAAGGTAAATAAGCCTGGGTAATCTTCTGTATTCTGGTCCACTATACCTTTTTTTATAGTGTGGCTGGTATTGATGTCAAGGTACATATTATCACAATAAGCAGTGAATATTTAAATTAAATAATTGCAAAATATTTAAATTAAATACTTGCAAAATATTTAAATTAAATTCCATTTTATGAACTTCTTATTTTAGTTATATGAATTGCAAGACATGATTGTTGAATTATGAAATGTACTTGAACTACAATAAATGTCAATTTAATGTCTTATTCGTCTAGGTTGTGAAATGTTAGCTGTTTATTTTCTTTGCCTTCTCTAGGCACCTGACTCGTACCCACGTGTTAGATTGTACACGGGCCATCTACCAAATAGGCAATCAATGCAAATAAAATTCAATCAGGATTTGCGACACACCCGTAAAATTTAGATTTTTCCTTCCTTTTTTTTTTTTTTTTTTCCAACTTCAGCAGGGTGGAAGTTCCTTTCATCTCGTAAAGTATCACTGGCTTTAAAATTAATCACTTGAGATGCCATTTTTGGTCACATCCATTATTTCATTTATTCATTAAACACTTGCGGTGTGACAGAGAGAGCTTAAGTCCCTTGCACCAAATCCCATGGTTGATTAGTGGCAGAACCAGGATTTGAACCTGTATTCACCTGCCTCTCAAAACCAAGCTCTCAACCACCAGTCTCTGTTGCCACCTTTATGTACCTGGTTCTGTGTTTGGCCCTGGTGCTGCAACCGGGGGCACAGAGCAGTGAGGTCGACGTGGCCCTTGCCTCACTCGCATTCTGGTGGGGAAGGCAGACATGGAACCAGTAACTGCGGTGTGATGACCCCCGGAGGGGACAGAGCAGAGACAAGGGGAGATGGGCTGAACCAGATTTTAGCAGGACTTGTCTGCAGGTCACGTAAAGCATTTGGAATCAATCCTAAGGACGGCGAAGTCACTAAAGGGTTTAAGCTGTAGCGTGACTTGATCGATTACACCTACGGAAACCCACAAGACCACTCGAGCTGCAGCATGGAGGGGAGTGCACTGAGGAGGGGGTTGTGGTGAGGGGACGTGAGTTAGGAGGCCATTGCTGCTCCCCAGGCCAGAGTGGATGGTGTAGGTGGAGCGGGACCGGGGCTTCCAGAGGTTCCTGGGAGGTAGAAGCCACCAGACTTTGACCAAGTGGAGGGAGAGGGCCGACGAAGAGGCAAGTGGCACCTGCACCCCTGGGAATAGTTGAAGGCGGCTCGTGCCCCTTGCTCAGCAAAGAGGTAAAGCCGTGTATATTTCTAGTGTCCCAGTGACAGAACTGCACCAGCATTTGCTGCCTCTCAGCGTTCCCCTGACCGTGCCTCTGCTGACTCGGCTTTGCTGACTGAGACCTCGTGAGAAACTTGGCTGGCGTCAGGGACCTTGTATTTGATGGGGTGAGACTCTGAGTGTGATTAAAATGGGGTGATCTGAAGCAAAGAGGGAGTGTCCCTTATCACACCAGATCCATGGATGTCCCACACTTACCCTCTGTGCCTTAAGGATTCTAACTAGGATTGTTATCTGTGACTCACTGGGGTGACCAGTACACAGCACTAGATGCTGGTTGTTTCCTGCAAATCTGGCAGGTGTGCAGTAGCCCCTCCCATGGCCCCCGCTGTGGCGCCTGGGGAACTTTGCATCCCACACTTCAGAGGTGTGGGTGCAGCCTGTGGGAACATCGCTGGCTGCTCCCTGCAGCTGACGGCAGGCACCTTCCCCCTCCCGTCCCATCCCCAGTTCCCTTCTCTAAGTGTCAGAATTGCAGGGAGGTAAGGCAGTGGAGGGGGCAGTGGCACCCCCATCCATCTCTAATCGAGGACCCTCGCCCTCCTCTGGAAACCTCAAGGATTCTGGGAAACGAAAAGACGCCTCTTTTTCCCCCAAAAGCCTGGGCTGGACTCAGGTGGTCCCAAGCCCTCACACTTGTCTTGGCTTTTTTGTGTCAGTGCCACTAGATGGCATGACAGCATCATTTTATTTCCATTTCACTGGACCCTGAATAAACCAGGCAGTTCCTCAATTCACTTTTCTTAAAAAGAAAACAATTGATTGAAATATCTTCAACTTATCTGATTATTGGAGAACATCTGGAAAACACAGAAAACCACAAAGGAAAAATATTTAGAATGTAAATTTTACATTAGTAAAGTGCTTGGACTTAAAAAAAAATGACTTAGAAGAAATAGGTACTGTCTGCCCTCTGATCCGCATCCGTGGATCTAACCAACTGTGGATCAGAAATATTGGGAGTGGAAATTCCAGAAAGTTCCAAAAAAGCAAAACTTGAATTTGCTGAGGGCCAGCAACTATTTACGTAGTATTTACATTGTTTTAGGGATTATAAGTAATCTAGAGATAATTTAAGGTATAAGGGAGGATGTGCATAGGTTATATGCAAATACTACTCCATTTGAAATACGGGACTTGAGCATCCGAGGATTTTGGTATCCTCAGGGGTCCTGGAACCAATCTCCTCGGATACGAAGGGCCAACTGTGTGTGCACAGTCTTTGTTCATCATGAGCCATAGTTGATGAGCAAGGCGTCCTGTCATCTGCGAACTTGAAGAGGGATCCCTCTTGATGTAAAGGTAACCCTAGATCCTAGACAGGGTTACCGGTCATGCAAGTCAACGATGTGGTCCCTGCCCTGGATATAAACTCAAGTTCTTAGTGAATATCTAGCCACGGGTAGAGAAAATAGCTAATAACAGGTAGTAACTGATTGCAGAATTGTAGAGTATTGGGAGCTGTGGGAGGCTGGGAGAGGAGGGGTGAGGGTGGGCCTGGAGGAGTTGGGACTTGTCAGAGAAAAGGCAGTGGGGTTATCAGGGGACCAGAAGAGCCTGCCTGCCGGGGCCAGAGCCACGGTGGGAATGACGGCCAGGCCCCACGGCACAGGTCTGGGAAAGTGGGTAGAGCCCATGGACGGGCTGAGTTTGATCCTGGTGGCACCACTGAGAGCCATTGCACATATAAGACCAAGCCCTGCCCAGTAGCCTGGAAGATGTCCCCCTTCCAGGAACACTTCAGCTGTGAAATCAGAGGCTCCTTTCTGAGTTCTGCTCAAGGTCACTGTTA